TGTATGTAATCTTTTCAAGTGTGGCACTGCTCGTTCCCTCTCATCGAGTGCCGTGTATTGCCAGTATGTGCCATATAGGGAGTACACAGCATGTGCCAAGCCTGTTGGGAAGTGCTCCAGTGGATTGTGAAGGGGGCAGCTGGTTGATTTCTTCCATTCACTTGATAGCCGAAATAAGGAAGATCAGCTAAAGGCCTTCTAAAAGTTGTTGTGGAGCACTTGATCAGCATCCTTTTTTGCCAAACCTATAGGATCAGCTCCCCTGCTGTGGTTAACTTACTGCCCTGCTGCTCTGAAGGTGCTAGATGACTAAGTACTTTCAACATGAGGAAATTTTCAGCAGCAAAGTGGGACGTAGCTGGGGCACATTGTTCATTTCTGCCTTCTTCCGTCTGCGTAGAGTGACTGAGGGAGGACTGATGGAAGGGGTTGGGGAAGGTGTTTCTGCAGGGTGTGGAGGAGATGGGTTTTTCTTAGCGAAGCTGATGAAAGTGTCCCCACAAGACCACTACAGCTGTTGTAAATGCCAGTTAGTCCTTTCTCTGCTGTAAATCATGGATACTGACTTCCCCATGGCCAAGCTCAAAAATAAGGATACAGACAGTATCTCCTCCTCAGCTCGCCTGAAGGTGTGCTTGGGTGCCAGTGAACTCAGCTTGAATGTTTTTTCTTTTTTCTTTTTTTTTTTTTTTTTGGCATTGCTTAGAAGCAAACCAGTAGATTAGAGGCTGGTTGCTCAGCATTGTCCCTGACATCCTTAATTCCCCAGCTGACTTTCAATCAGTGAGCTGCAACTCCCTCCTGCCTTGACAGCTGTTCACCTCTGCAGAACTTGCCAGCTTTGTTGCAAGCTCTTTGCCTTCGAATGTGTGATTGTGATCTTTTGTCCATGACCATGGTGACCGACCACCCTGAGGATGTCATGCACAGATACTGAAACGTGGCAGAATGTGTCTCAGTCCTCTGAACAAAACAGGTGATTGTCCAAACTAGTGTACAGGAAGCCAAAAGTACGCACCAGTCAGTACAGTTAGATTTCAAACCCGTTGCTGTTTTCTGTGGGTTTGAGCTAGCGGTGACAGGATTCTAGCTGTCGTGAAGAACAGCTTTCATTTGCATGGAGTCTGTTGCCTGTTCAAATACATGTTTATCCTTAATCTTACAGATTACTTAATAAACGTGATGGACGCCCTCGGCCTTCAGCCATCAAGAGCACTGCAAAACATCGTAACTCTGTTGAAGGCAAAACCAGAGGACTACCGGCAAGCTGCAAAAAGCATGCCCCGCAGAATGGCCAGCAGCATCGCAGCAATGAGAGGCCTGGAGTGTTAGCTGTAACGTCCCTGCTGCTGGACGCTGTTCACGGGCTGAACTGTTTGGGTTGTTTTTATTTCCCTATAAACTTTGCAAGGACACTGGGGATTAGGGGAATTTATTTCTGAATAACTTTTAATAAATGCCTTTGTCTAGGAAAAGCTTGTTCCATTTTTTCATCTTTAGAAATGAGGAAAGATGTCGTACCACCAAATTTACCAGAAATTATCTGGATGGCCTTGAGTAGGCTGAGCAGTGCTGGCTTCTGACTAGAAATGTTCTGCCAATTGCTGGAAAGTTCATGCTTCATGGCTGTCAGATGACTTTCTTTTTCAGAAAACTTAATCAATTCTGGATCTAAAATTATGGGGTAGGTGCAACAAAGATCAACTGATTGGAAGATCTTTTACCTGGGGGCAATCGTCATTGCTCAAGTCTGTCATTATTCACAAAGTCAGGAAGACAGTCTCATCAATTAGTAGATGAGGCATGATCAAGCTCAACCCTGAGAATAAAACCAGTTTTGTAGGTTGTTCCTTGTGCGATGAATGTATTATTCTGAAAGCTATGACGTTTATAAGAAATTTGATGAAAACATTGCTTTCTTATAAAATTTATTAAAGCTTCGTATATAGATCTTTGTAAAACAACTTGTCTAGCCTAAGTATGCTTCCAACACTTCCACAGCTTTTTTTCTTAGGACAAAACTGGACAGAATACCAAGCAATCCCAAAACTGGAATGGCAGCTGTGTGAGATGGTGCTGGATATTGGAGAGGAAAAACATCTTTCTTCCACTTATCTGTATCTACTCCTGCAGTTTTCTCCTCTTCAACACCAGATGCCTTGGGGGAATAGTTCTTTTCCCAGCACCCATGATTTTGCTTCTTCTTTAACTTGGTTCAGGCTGCTCTAATCAGTGTTCAGCCTGATCCACAAATTTTTCTGCTGTCTTTGCTTTTTGGCTGGTTTCTTTTTTTCCTGGCAGCTGTCATTTTTTGTCCTCCTTTTTTTAGCCTGATACGTTCTCCCCTGGGTGACTGTGTGCTTAGCTGCCGAAGCTGTGTCTCTTCTGGGCAGTCCCATGTCTGATTTTGTCACACCACCATCTTTCCTGTGTTCTGTAGCACACATGTAACATGCTGATACAGGCTTATATTTTACCAGTGGTATATTTTTTAGTGAAATTGGATTCTTTTGCTGTTTTCAGCTGGAGTTTGGTGATGATTTGTTGCCAAAACTGCAGTTTGGGGAGGTGAGGAGAGCAGAGATGCTTTGTAAACGGTTTTTGGGTTTCGTGAATTTTGGCACCTAAAAAAATTTCAGAGCAGGGAAGTAAAATGTGTTTTCTGGAATGTTTTTGTTGTTTTTTTTTTTCTTGGCAGAGTTTTCAGTTATATGTTTACTCTTTTGTTGCAGAGTATGAAGAGTCTATTAAAAAATTCACCAAATGAATGGGAAATTTGGTATTGTATTGAGTTGGGACTTCTCAGGTGTCTCGTTTGGCTGGGATTTGTGAAGCCTTTCCCCCGAGAGCTCTGTGCCTGGTCCTGTGCAGCGCTCGGCCAAGTCGCCGGTCCTTCCAGCGGCTGCACTGCTGCTGCAGCAAGAAAAAAACCCCTTTGCACAAATACGCTTATCTGCAATCTCCATTTGGGGGAGAGCGCCAAGCTGGTAAAGAGCCGAAGTCAAGTACCTGAGACACTTTCCACTTTTTATTAGTTGTCAGACGCCCTCTATAAACCAGCAGTAACTGGAATAGTAAACTGTCTGTGTCCTGCCAAAGAACATGCTGTTCTGATTTACCCTTGGTGTGAGACAGGTGAATCTGTTTGTGCCTCTCCCATCCTTCTCCTGCCTTGTCACTAGAAGGTGAGGATTTTTGAGGCTGTTCTTTGCCTCCTGCTATTGCATGTCACAGGGCAAATGGCCCCGGGCAGGGACCCACCTGGGGCTGAAGGTGAGAGAAGCTGGAAGGTGCGGACTGTCCCACCAGCGCCGCAGCCCGAGACCTGCTGCTGCCTTTTCTGTTCATTACAGTGCTGTGGCAGAGATGCTGGAGCCCACCCTAGGGTGTCAGGAGCCGAGGTGCTGCATTTCGGAGTGCCTCGGGGAGGGCTGGCCTGGGAAAACAGCGCTGCCTTCCCCCTCTCTCTGCAGCCCATCGCATTGCAGCGAGCTCCTCACGGATCCCACCATTTCAGCAGTGCAGGAGCAGGGTCAGGGCGATTGTTTTGCCATACGGAAAAGCATCCAATGTCTCTGCAGTATCTTCATGTTTGAACAGCTATTTGGGTTCCCACATGGCCGGACACTGGTAGTGACGTTGACAGTGGTGTCTGTTGGTGAGAGCGTGGGAATAGATGCCCAGGTTCTTGTTCTCAGCTTTCCCAGTGTTTTAAGCAAATTGCTCTATTGTATCTTTTGCAGGAAGCGTTTTTTCACTGTTGCAAAATCATTTGGAGATCTTTGTAAAGGTAAGTATTGGCTTATGTGTGTACATTGAACGCTGAATCAGGAGGGGAGGGAGGTGCTTGTTTCTGACTCAGCTGCGATGTGGGATGAAGGGCTGTCACTTCACAGGGCCTCTCCCTTTTGGTGAAGGAGGCTGTACGGTCGTTTTACGGTGCTCGGGGGGGAAAGCATCCCTTTAGGGAGAAGGAAGCGAGGAGTTGGGCAGGAAAAGTCTTGGACAACTCTTGTACGAGCTGGATTCCTCTGTCTTTACAAGTGTCCCAACTGCCTTCCATCTGCCCTGTCACTGCTCTGGTTGGTTTTATGTGCTTGCTGGGCTCATGATGTACGCAGAGTTAGATGGTTTCCTGTAGGAGAAGCCGTGTTTGTGGACTGTTGGTCATTTCCTCTTGCAAACAAGAACCAACTGATAAGGGTCTGGGGGCAGCCCATGGATTTGTTAAGAACGTGCTCCCTGAATCAGGATTTTTATTCCTCATATCTTTTAATTTAGGTATTCTCTAGCTGCAGATGATTGTAAATTATCCCTATTTTTCCACTTCTCATCCCAGTCAAGGTCAGAGGCAGGTATGGTTGCTCACCAGCCCAGGAAGGCTGGGATGAGTTCTGTGTGCCAGGGCCTCGCTTAACTGTTCCAGTTTGTAAGGAATCTGGTGCTGAAGGGTGAAAGTGTCACCTGCCTCTACTCCCAGTGTCGTGTAGCAAGTCTGTTGTTTTGCTTAATGTATAAAAGATAATCATATGTTGTTTCTGAGGCAAAACTTCTTCTGGATGAATTGTTCCAGATGCTAAAAAAGCCTGAAAAGCATTAGTTGGTGGAATGAGTAGGAAGTTCTGCAAATGAAACTGCTCTGTCAAGTGGCATAGCGTCAGCTTCTAAATAACCTCCTTATCTCCTGATTTTTCCAAGCAGTGGCAACTAAAACAAACACAGCTTCCAGCTCAGGAGGCCCATGAACCGTGGGCTGCCAGGAACGTGCACCAGAGGAAGGGCTGTTCTGCACATGCCCTGCGTGCAGGATTTTCCCGTCGCTTTGGTGTCTGGGCACTGTCAGAATCAAAAGCCTTGGCCAGGTGGGTTGCTGAAGCACTGGTCAAGAAGCAGTGGTGAAACCTTCGCATGGTTTCTAAATCGGCTCTAGTATTTGGCTCTGTAGGATCTGTTAATTTGTCCATTTTTGAGCATCCCAAAACATTTCCAAAGCTGTTTCATTATTTAAGAATCTGAATTTAATTTTAAAAAGTGGTTAAGCTTCTTGTTCTTATGATCACCAAGTGAAATTGGAAAAAAAAGTCTGTAAAAATTCATATATTGGAAGTAATAGAAAATCAAAACTTTATTTTAAATTGCCATTACTTTTGGAGCTAATCATAAAATTTTAAAAATTCATTAGTCAAGTCTTATAAAATTAAGGCTGCAGACATTCTACGTGTTATTATCTTGTAACTATGGCAGCAGTGTTAGAGCAGCTATACACTGCTAATTAAAGGTTTGACTTTTTCAGTGAATTTTGAACACAGAAGTTGCCCTGTGCGGGGCAGTCAGCTGTGCCGGCAGCACCGCGTCTGGCAGATCGTCCCCCGTTTCCTCGGTCCTGCTGATGGTGGTCGTCAGCAACTAGACCCACCACTTCCACCACCCAGGGGAGATGTGCAGACCCTGGGCACGCTCTGCCCCCGCAGCTCTGCACCAGAGCACCCCGGGCTCGCTCGGGAGCTTCAGGCGGAGAAGGAGCGCGGAGCCCCCTCGCCGCTGTGGTTGCCCCCACCACCCCATGCTTGTGCCACGCCGGGCGCTGTGCCCAGAACATCGTGTTCCCCGGTCGCGTCATTTAACCACACGATCCTGTTTCCTCTTGAAGTTTTGCAGAAGTACTTCAGTATGGCAGGTCCCCGGTGGGTTGCGATGGGCTCCTGGGAAAGCTGCGG